AGTTGTTTCTCCTCATTGTAAGTTGTGCCCCATCAGCATATGAAGGCCCCAAAGTTTGGTTCCATTCACCTCATTGTGGTCAACTCTACTTTGAGGAGGCAGCTCTTCCCAGTCATATTTTGAATGCCTTCCAACTTGAGGGGCTCATCTTCTGGCATTATAGTTGACAGTGTTCCACTACTATTCATAATGTTTTCATCTTCTGACACTCTATCTGACAATGTTCCACTGTTATTCATAAGGTTTCCAGTGGCTAACATTCAGAAGTAGTTTGCCTTTCTTTCTTTCTTTCTAGTCTGTATTAGTCTGGAAGCTCTGCTGAAACCTGTCCACCATAGGTGACCCTGTTAGTATTGAAAATACCTGTGGCATAGCTTCCAGCATCACAGCAATACACAAATCACCACAGTACAACAGACTGACATAGATAATATCTATACACCTACAAGGAAGCTCAGTTAATACCACTGCTATTCAAATGGTCACACCAAACACTAAAGCCAGTAATGATGAAATTGAAAAATTCTAAAGGAGCTCTGGTAGTGTAGTTGTTATGAATCAGGCTGCGAACTTTAAACTCAGCAGTTCAAAACCACCAGCTGTTTAGCGGGAGAAAGATGAGGCATTCTGCTCCAGTAAAGATTTACAGCCTCAGAAACCCTGTACAAGGTCGCTATGAGTCAGAACCGACTCCACGGCACATAACAACAATAACCAACTTCTTCGGACTCCTGATGTGCTGTAGGATAAGCACTGGACTGAGAACTACAAGGTCAGCAATTCAAACCTACCACCCTCTCCTCAGAAATCCTATATTGGATAGCTATGAGCCAGAACTTAACAACAGCCAACTTCTTCACTTAGAAATTAATCAAGCATTCAGTCAAAACGTATTGATAATTGCTAGTGATTGGAATGTGAAACTTGGAAACAAAGAGGGTCAGTAGTTGGAAAATATAGCCTTTGTAATAGAAATGATGCTGGAGATCACATGATAGAATTTTGCAAGATCAGTGATTTATTAATTAAGATACCTTTTTAAAAAGGCGATTCTCCACCTGGACCTCATCAGGTGGACTATACAGGACCAAATAGACTACATCTGTTGGAAAAGACGTTGGAGAGCTCCATATCATCAGTCAAAACCAGACCAGGGGCTGACTGTGGAAAAGACCATCAGTTGAGGTTGAAGTTGAAGAAAATTAAAACCAGTCGACAAGAGTCAAAATATGGCCTTGATTATATCCTAGCTCAAGAACAGATTTGATGCATTAGACACTAACAACTGAAGACCAGAGGGATGTGGGATGACATCAAGGAAGAAAGCAAAAGATCACTTAACTGGGAGGAAAGAAAGAAAAGACCAAAATGGGGGCCAGAAGAGACTCTTGAAACTTGCCCTTGATCATAGAGTCTAAAGCTAAAGTGAAGAGAAGAAATGAGGAAGTAAAAGAACTGAACAGAAATTTCTAAGAGCTGCTCAGTAAGACAAAGTATTACAATGAAATGTGCAAAGATCTTGAGTTAGAGAACCAAAAGGGGAGAATATGCTCAGCATTTCTCAAGTTGAAAGAACTGAAGGAAAAACTTAAGCCTTGATTTGCAAGCCATGAGCAAAATATTGAATAATGTAGAAAGCATCAAAAGAAGATGGAAGGAATACAAAGTCTCTGTACCAAAAAGAAATGGACGATGTTCAACCATTTCAAGAGGTAGCCTATGATCAAAAACCGATGGTACCGAAGGAAAACATATATGCTGCACTGAAGGCATTAGTGAAAAATAAGACTTTGCGTACTAACAGAATACAAGTAAAAGTATTTGAAAAAAGTAATGCAGCACTGGAGGCGCTCATTCATTTATATCAAGAAATTTGGAAGATAGATAGCTATCTGGCGAAATGATTGGAAGAGATCCATATTTGAGCCCATTCCAAAGAATGGTGACCTAATGGAATGGGGAAATCATTGGACAATATCAATATAACATGCAAGTAAAATTTTACTGACGATAATTCAAAAGCGATTCCAACAGTACAGTGACAGGGAACTGCCAGAAATTCAAGCCAGATTAAGAAGAGGACATGAAACTAGGGAAATCATTGCTGACATCAGATAGATCTTGGCAAAAAGCAGAGAATAACCAGAAAGATGTTTACCTGTGCTTTATTGACTATACAAAAGGCTTTCAACTATGTGACTCATGACAAGTTATGGATATCATTGCCAAGAATGATCATTCCAGAACACTTAATTGTGCTCATAAGGAACCTGGACATAGCCCAAGAGGCAATGGTTAGAACAGAACATGGGGATACTGAATAGTAGAATCAATTGTATCCTTTCACCATACTATAGAAGGTCTTGAACAGAGAGGGAGGAAAAAAATAATAGACCAAAATTCAAAGTTATAAAAAAGACCAAATTTACTGGTGTGAATAAGGTGGTGAAACCCCCGAGACTGTGGCCCTTAAGTATTCTTAAAACATAGAACTGAACCCCCCCCCCTTGAGATCTATGTTCAGTCAAATGGACAGTCATAGAAAATAAATAATAACATCAGGATGTATTCCTCAGTACAGTGAACAATAGGAGAACTAATGGGCAGCATTTGCCCAAAAACAAAGCTTAGAAGGCAGGAAGGGACAGGAAAGGGCAAAAGGGAAAGGAGCCCCAGACAAGTGCTGTTGCGTTGATGGAATTGCAACCAAAGTCAGGAAACAAAATGTGTGCAAGTTATTGAATAAGCTGATTTGCTATATCAACTCCTACCAAACAACAGCAAAAAATAAAACAAAAAGAGAGCGTAAGTTTCATAGCTGTAGTGCTTTTGTTGGCCTGTTAGCCAACTATGGTCTGCTACCTGTTTTTGTAAAAACACTTATGGACAAAAACAAAAAAACCTCTTATGTACTTACAAAAACAGGTTGCAGACCACAGTGTACTGACCCATGAACTAGATTACATTACATGGCAGATTCAGTGATAGTCTTATAGGAACACGGCCATAAATATAAAAAACAAAAGGGGAATTGGAGTAAGGCTATTACAGTGTTCCAGTGTCTCCTTAGATTTGATAAAAAGGGTTGCATTATACCATATTTGTTAAAATTAAACATGAAATAAAAATTGAGATAATAAAATCCCTCCTCCTGTTATAAAATGTTCTTCACTCCTTTTACTATCCTGTGATTTTTTAAAAAGAAATATTAACTAGAATTTATGAACATTACAATAATGAAATTTGTGATATATATGAGCAGGTCAGTTATACATAGTATTGCAATTAATTTGGAAATATCTAATCTTCCTTTCTGAGCAGAAGCTTCAAAATATTTTAACAAATAGTATAGGGGTGATGAAGCCCTGTTGTGGCACTGTAGATTAAGTACTGGACTACAAGTTCGATTTGAATTGCAAGGTTCAAACTCACCAGTAGCGCTTCAGAAACCCTATACAGGGTCACTATGAATTGGAACTGACTCGATGGTGCTCAGCAACAGGGGTGTTACTTCCTTCCCTTTGAAAATATAATTACTTGTTTTGCAGGGGAACTTTTCAAATCCTGAAGATAGCTAAATATTATTTTACATGTTTTTTATTGTTTCTTTGTGAATGATACTCCCTAGTTTATTTTATTAGCCCTGGTGGCTCAATGGATTATATGTTTGGCTGCAAATCACAAGGTCAGCAATTCAAATCTACCAGTTGCTCTACTGGAGAAAGATGAGGCTTTCTGCTTCCATAAAGATTTACAGCCTCAGAAACTCTACACAGGGATGCTATGAACAAAAAGTGACTTGAAAGCACGCATCAACAGCAGTGAACTTAAATTTACTATTTTAAAGAAACCCAATTAATCATGTCTCCCAATAGATAACAGGAAGGAAGTGATTAAATCTGAGGGAAATTTGACAAATTGTGGGGATAGATTATTAAAAAAAAAAAAAAAAAACAACTTTTGAAATAAAGATCTTTTAAGTATTATTAAAGGCTTGCAATTACTTACTACAATTTTTTTTTAATTGTTTAAACTGCAGGGTTATTTTTGGTGTATATAATGTATTTCATAAGGAGCACATTTGTGATTCTATAAAAATGTTGATATTAAATGCTCAAGATTTTCCTTTTTAGTTGGAGTCAGTTTTTTCCCACTCTCTTATCTTCGTGTCAGCCAGAGCCACTATCACTGCCTGCAGTCTAGTGCTGGGATCCTAAGGTTTTTACACAATCATTTGCCTTTTTGAGGTACTTCAGATATGTCAGAATGATTTAATATCTTAAAATTAATTTGTGATTTTTGAAACCATATCCTGTTGTCCTTGTCTTTGCTTGTTATTTGAGGTGGCTGCTTCTGAGTTGACAGTGACATACATTCTTTGGCTCAGCAATGTTTACTAATACTTGCTTCCATGAAGGGATTGGTTTGTGTTATTGAGTATATGCTATGAACCTTATAGACTATGATAATTGCTGCCTTACTCCCGTCATAAGTGAGATACAATTTTTTATTCATGAGTTAAACTGTTTGCTGTACAGCTCAGTACTAAATGCAAATAACACAGAGATGTGCTTGTTTTTCAATTGTATGCATTTTCCAGTACCATCCTTGCAATCCATTTAAAAGTGCAAAAGTACAGTCTAGGCTGGTTGAGGTTTATTTGTGTGTTTTGTTTTGAGGTCTTAGAATGCCACTGCTCGGTGATTCAGAATGGCCAATCCACTTACTAATGATGCATCTGTACTGCCGCCAGCACTCATGACCTTTCTGAAAGAGCTCCTGGTTTTTTTGTTGTTGTTGTTTTAGCATGTTAAATACACTTGACTAATTATTTTCTTGTAATATTGCTAAAAGCTCTTACAGCCCAGAGAAGGAGTCGTTTACGAGTAAATAGGATGGAAGATGATTCTTTTGTTTTAAAATTTTTGTCCTTAATGAATTTTATTTTTCAAATGACATTCCACTTTTTTTTTTTTAACATGATTATCTTTTTCTGATAGATAACGGCTTACAATAGGCGTACCTTTGAGACTGCAAGACATAATTTGATCATTAATACAATGTCGGCAGAAGGTAGGTATGGAAAAATATGTTGATGATTGTTTCCTTATCTACAAAAAGCCTTTTAGATAATCTTTGTAACGTTAAAAAGTGTTATGGATTCTAAAGAACCAACATATCTAATGTTGTTGTTAAGTGCCATCAGGTCAGTTTCTACTCAAGGGAACCCTGTATAGAGTTTCCAAGGCTGTGAATCTTTGCAGGAGCAGAAAGCCTCATTTGTTTCCATGGAATAGTTGGTGGGCTCGAATCACTGACCTCATGGTTTGAAGTCCAGTGCTTATCTTATGGAGCCACCATGCTTCACACATACCTAATGTGATAGATTAAATAGTAAAATGTAGGGGGAAATGAAGCAGGATTACATGCCTTATGATTTGTTGTGGTGCATCAGAACTCTGAAGAAGGAGCTGAGAGTAGATTACTTATTTCTGGAAGCCTTGGTTTCCTTCTCTGTAAAACACTGCTACAAGTTACATTTCTTCCACAAGTCTGCAGTTAAGCTCACATGAGTTAAACCTTTAAACATATTTAACACAGAGCCAGCACAGAATCCACACTCAATGATTAGCGGCTATTTTTACTACTTTCTTAAAAACTTTTACAGGTACTTTTAATTGTGTAACAAAAATACAGAGTTACTGGTGTGATTTATTTGGGCAACAGTGTTCTTTTCTAAATTGCTGATCTGCTTCAATACTTGCTAGAGTCCATTGGTAATTTAGATTTACATAGGCTTTGTAAAGAGACAAAGAAAACATAACATTTCCAAAGATTTCCCCCTTATTTTGGTATATGACTGGGGAAAATGCAAGCCACTACAAACTGTAGTTAAAATTTATAAATCAGGTGATATTCTCTAGTATGTCATTTTCAGTGGCAACAGGAGAAGAAATGATAAAGATTTACTACCCACTGATGAAAATAGTAAAGTAATTGCATATCCTCAGTAGGGGACTTCTTGTTATATAATAAATAAAACACAGTTAAAAAGAATTGAGCAAACAGAATATTTTATCAGAAGCTATTAATTTGAAACTCATGGTAATTCAGTCAAGGCTGAATTACAAATCACTTTGCACTATACTATAGGAAATGGTGCCTTCTCTGTGAAGTTTACCTTACTTTTCACATTTGGAGAAATTGCTTGAAGACTTTGAACCTCCTTAAGTGAATTTTTTCCCTAATGTTTTAGTAGTACCAATTGTAGACAGTGGATGTACTGAATAAACATTTTAAATACCCTTCCTATATGAAAAGCAAGCCCAAATGCAGTTTTGTGGGCATGGCAAGAGGATTGATTCTCTGTCCACTACCCCCACATCCTCATGAGGGCTTTTGGTAGGTATTCATGTTTGGATCAGGAAGACTGTTCTTGACCTCAGTTATAATTGAATGCTTGCAAAATTGGAATTGGAATTCCTGTAGACTTGAAATACCCTTCATGAGTGGAATAATTATAGAGTTCCCTTCCTCCTTGAGAATTCATCAATATAGTTATATTATATTGGGCTTAGAATACCTAACCTTACCACTGTACTCTCAAAGGGAATCAGAATCCTCTGACAAGCATAGACATCCTTGTTGTTATTTTTGTTCAATGCTATTGAGTCAGTACTGACTCATAGAGCCCTTGTGCACAACAGAATAAAACAATGCCCAGTCCTGCGTCAATCTCACAATCATTGCTACACTTGAGCCCACTGCTGCTGCCACTATGGCAATCTGTCTAGTTGGGGGTCTTCCTCTTTTTCTCTGACCCTCCACTTTACCAAGCATGATGTCTTTCTTCATGAATTGGTCTCTCCTGATAATATGTCCAAAGAATGGGAAACAAAGTCATGACATCCTGGCTTCTAAGAAGTATTCTGGTTGTACTTCTTCCAACGCAGATTGGTTCATTCATTTGGCAGTCCATGGTACTTTTAATATTATCCTCCAACACTATAGCTTAAACATATCAATTCTCCTACCGTCTTCTTTATTCATTGTCCAACTTTCACATGCATATGAGGTTACTGAAAATACCATGCTTGGATCCGGCGCACTTTAGTCCTCAAACTGACATCTTTGCTCTTCAACACTTTAAAGAGGTTTTGTGCGGCAGATTTGCCGAATGCATTATGTCATTTGATTTCTTGACTGCAACTTCCATGAGTGTTGATGGTGGATACAAGCACAATGAAAACTTTGGCAACTTCATTTGTTTTTCTCCATTTCCAGTGGTGAGGATTTTTATTTTCTTTACATTGAGGTGCAACCCATACTGAAACCTGTGGTCTTTGATATTTATCAGTATATACTTTAAGACCTCTTCCCTTTCAGCAAGCAAGGTTGTATCATCTGCATATCGCAGGTTGTCAATGAGTCTTCCTCCAGTCCTGATGCCATGTTCTTCTTCATGTAATCCAACTTCTCGGATTATTTGCTCAGAATACAGATTGAATAAATATAGTGAAAGATTACAATCCTGGCAAACACCTTTTCTAATTTTAAACTGTTCAGTGTCCTCTTGTTCTATTCAAACAACTGCCTCTTATTCTATATGCAGGTTGCTCATGAGCACAACTAAGTGGTCCGGCATACTCCTTTTCTGCAGTGTTGTCCATAGCTTGTCATGATCCACACAGTCAAAAGCCATTGCATAGTCAGTACAGCATAAGTAGACATCTTTCTGGTATTCTCTGCTTTCAGCCAAGATCCTGCTCATGTCAGTAATTGTATCACTCATTCTATGTCCTCATCTGAATCCAGCTTGAACCTCTGACAGTTCCCTGTCAAGGTACTGCTGCAACCATTTCAGAATCATCTTTAGCAAAATTTTACTTGCATACTATATTAATGATATTGTCTGATAATTTCTGTATTTCATTTGGTCATCTATCTATGGAATGGGCACAAATATGTATCTCTTCCAATCGGTTGACTAGGTAGCTGCCTTCCAAATATCTTGGAATAGATGAGTGAGTGCCTCCAATGCTGCCTCAGTTTGTTGAAAGATGTAAATTTGTATTTCATCAATTCCCAGAGTCTTGTTCTTTGCCATTGTCTGCAGTGCACTTAGGACTTCTTGTAGTACCATTGGTTCCCGATTGTATTCTAACTCTTGAAATGGTTGAACATCAACCATTTCTTCTTGGTACAGTGACTCTGTGTATTCTTTCCATCTTCTTTTGATGCTTTCTGCATCATTCAGTTTTTTGACCAAAGAATCCTTAAATATTTCAAGTTGAGGCTTGAATTTTTTCTTCAGTTCTTTCAGCTTGAGAAATGCTGAGTTTTTTCTTCCCTGTTGGTTTCTAACTCTAGGTCCTTGCACATTTCATTATAATTTCAACTTTTTCTTCTCAAGCTGACCTTTGAAGTTTTCTGTTCAGCTCTTTTACTTGCTCATTTCTTCCATTTGCTTTAGCGTTTCTATGTTGGGGAGCAAGTTTCACAGTTTCTTTTGACACCCATTTTGGTCTTTTTGATCTTTCTTTTCTTCTTAATGACCTGCCTGTTTTCTTCCTATATGATCTTCTTGTTGTTATCCCACAATTCTTCTGGTCTCCTGTCATTAGTGTCCAATGCATCAAATCTGTTCTTGAAATGATCTCTAAATTGACATATGGGATATGTTCAAGGTCATATTTTCAGTCTTGTGGATGTGTTCAAATTTTCTTCAGTTTAAGCCTGAATTTGCATCTGAGCAAACAGACCATTGTCTGTTCCAGTCTGCCCTTGGGATGGTTTTGGCTGATGATACAGAAAATTTCCACCATCTGTTAGAATCCTTACTGACTAAAAAACAGCCTAGTGTACAGTGTGAACTTCCTTCTTCTCAAGACATCTTAATAGATGCCGTTGTTGAAATGTAGAGACTTAGGATTCGGCAGATACTGATGAAAGACTGCTGGACAGTTTAGGTGGAAAGTTAGCTATAGGGGCTCTTGATCTGAATCCAAAAGCTCTGCTAGAGTAATGGTTCATTTCTCAGTTTTGATGCTGTGTTGGTAAAGGAGGAAGAGCCAGGTAGGCTTGGGAGCCTCCACATTTTCTTCACTCAGAGCTGTTCTACTGCTTTTAACATAGGGTTCTATGTCTCCAAACTTTTAACAACCACTGAGCTAAATTGACATACCTTTGCCCTTGCTGGTCTAGACACAATGTATGTGGGCTAATGGGCAGTGGGACTGAATCTTTGAAGAGGACCTATACTCGTGCCATTTCCTGTCAGATAAGATTTAGGAAAAGAAGCAACTACCTATCAGGAGCAAAAAGCAGATATACCTATCAGGAGCATCCTGTTCAGATATACTCCCTGCCTAGCTCTCAGTATCTTAATGGGACATTGATCCTGGAGAGTCACACAGTAGAGCTGAAACAGAGCAGAACGATTCTCTAAATTGGGCTTCAGTGCCTCTGAGACCTGCCACTCATCTATTGGCCTACTGTTCTCTTGGCCGCTATGATGTCCAAATATAGCATGCATGGGATTTCCCCAAAGTTAGAAAGCTGTTGTGACTCATCTCTGGGTGGCCCGGCAGCAACCCTTGGCAGGCAGCGTGGAGCCAGAGCCTCCAAGGGGCGTGGTACAGAAGGGCTGGCAGCAGGTTTTAAGGGAACCAGAGCCGCTTGGATATGAAAAAGGCAAATAACCATTCTCCAAAAAGGAGCACTGAGAGCAAGAAAAAAGCTTTACCAGCTTTTCCAGAAAACTGGTTATAAACACACTGAATAGATAATAGGCTTCTGGCATACTAAAAAAAAAAAAACTGTTATCAGTGTTATTTATAAAGTTAATCATTTATTGCCAGGAAGTGGCTCTTCATGACACATTTCTGCTTTACTCTCTCCAGTGTTGTTGCTGTTGTTATGTGCCGTCAGGTCAATTCCAACCCATAGCAACTCTGTATAGAGTTTCTGAGGAGCAGCTGATTCAAACAACTTTGCAGTCTGGTGAATTAACCCACAGCGCAACACCAGAACTCTCTCCTCCAGTATGGGAGACAAAATATAACATGATTAAGTGACTGTGTATCTGTCTAAAACAACAACAACAAAACATATTAATCTGTATGACACAGAAAATTTATCTGCATAAAACAATAAATACAACATATTTTAGAAAATTGCTTCTGGAACTATTCATAAAGCAAATTTAACACAATCAGTAGCAAAATAAATGACAGTGTAGGAGAGAGTAAAGGTGCTTTTGTGACCAGGGCCCAGAATAATGAGTAAATCTATATAGTAAGAAAGGCCGACACTCTAGAAAACTCTGTGGAAAATCTAAAGCCAAATCTTTTTCCTTCACTTCATTTTCGGCATTGAATTAATTTTATAAGAAGCTTCATGAGAAATGGGGGTGTTGAAATTTCAGTTATTAATTATATAATTTCTTGTTTTTTACTGAGTTATTAAATGAGAGTAAAATAAATGATAGATTCACCCATTTTATTGAAATAAATCAGAAAACGTACTTTAATATGACTGCTGTTGTTGCAGTGAAGTAATTTCTGACTCAGGATTTCTGAAGAACGTCTGGTATGTCTGAACTGCCAACCTGGCTGTTTAAACGACCTTACATTCCAGTGCTTATCCTACAGCGCCACACCAGCTATAAATCTGTGTGACAGTCCAGAAACATTTTATTTTCATTTTAAGGGAAGAATTCAACTAATCAGCCTGTTCCTATGGTCACTGTTGTTAAGTACCAAGTTGGTTCTGATGTATAGTGAGGCTTGAAATCTTTTGTGGGAGCAGAAAGCCTTATCTTTCTCCCACAGAGCAGCTGGTGGGCTTGAACTGCCAACTTTGTGTTTTACAGTCCAGTGCTTACCTATGGAGGCACCGTGCACCCATTCCTATCATAAGAGCTAAAAACGAATATTTGACAGGTATTGGGAACTTTCCTGAGTACTTTAAGGACACAGACTCCTTTAGTTTATGTAAGAATCTGATAAGATTAGTTGAGATTATAACTTTGTGGCGCTATACAGTAAGAGTTGGACTGCTAACTGCAAGGTTTGAGGTTCAAACCTATCAGCTGCTCCTTGGAAACCCTGTATTGTTGTTAAGTGCCGTTGAGTTGGTTCCTATGCACAGCAACTCTGTGTAGACTTTCCAAGGAGAAACATTCAGGAGAGCAGAATGCTTGATCTTTCTCCCAAGGAGTGATTGGCAGTCTCAAACCGTGAACCTTGTGGTTTGCAGTCCAGTGCTTATCATATGGCGCCACCGCACTACCCCAAAATCCTATACAGTGTCACTATGAGTTGGAATCAGTGCTATGGCATTGAACAACAATAACACAAAGCTCAGCTTCCCCATCTGGAAATCTGGAGAAAAATACTAGTACCTCTTCACCCTTTGATTGTGAAGGTTAAATGTGATAATTCACTTACATCCCTCAGCCAAGCTCATGGTAAAATATGCAAAAATATCTTAGCAGAAGATTTTTTAAAATATTAAATATTTTTAACTGTTAAGTATTTTTAAGTGTTTTTGTTGTTAAGTGTCTTTGAGTCAGTTCTGACTCATAACAACCCTGTAGAGGGTTGGTAAGCTTGAACCACAGACATTGCAGATCTAACTAACCTTACAATCCAGCGCATTAACCCACAGAGCCACACCAGGACTGCTTTAAGTATTACAGCTATACTACAAAATAGAAAGAAGTCTTTATCTTAATAGAATAATCAGATTATGAAAAATGATGATTCTAAATTCAAGAGTAGCATATGAGAATCTGAAATATTTTTATATTTATGTAGAATCTTATGCTAAGAATCTGAATTTGACATTGGGTTGATTTAAAGCATTCAGTTTTAAATGCATAGAGGAAAATTTTGATGAATCATTGGTAGGGAAAAAGACAAAGTAAATTTTTAAACTGATATGTTGAGGTTCATAAGAATTATATTTTTTTCTAAATCATTTAATTAAATGGTGATCAAAATAGTGGACTTGAATGATTTCAAAATTGCTATTGAAAATATAATCAGTATTTATTTCAGAAAAGTAATGTTTTAATATGATATACAAAGAACAATATTCAAATTAAAAATACAGTATTGTAAATCATATGAAAACAACCCCAAATCAAAGTATATATATCTCATAATATCTTGTTATTTTGGAAAGGTTATTTCTCTGTTAGATTGTAGATAACGCTACCAGGGTGGTTGCAATAATTAAATAACATGTTTGGAAAAGATTTGTAAATTCTAAAGCACTGCAAATACACAGCATTATTTCTACCATGTAGAGTTCTTTAGATTCTCTTGCCAGCTGAGTAAATTCAAAGGGTGAGAAAGCAGGTGGGAAACTGACAAGTTAATCCAAACTGTGAGTTTGAGGTAGATTTTGACTTTTTTCTTTCATCTTTCTTTTCCTTTGGCCAGATCCTTGTAACTTGAACTGCTATCCTTTAGTTTTGATTATATTGTAGAGAAAGTTCTGTGTCTAATATACATGATATATTTAGACAGATCATGTATTTAGAGAAAGCCTTTCAAGTCAGTATTAATAGTATTCCTTGAATGCCAGCATTATGACAGAACTCAACAAATTTTAAATTGTCATTTTGCTTCTCTTTTTAAAAATGACTTAGTTTAACTTTTCTCCAAAAATTAGATTTCCCACTACCATATCAAGCAGAATTCTTCATTAAAAATATGAATGTAGAAGAAATGTTGGCCAGCGAGGTTCTTGGAGACTTCCTTGGGGCAGTGAAAAATGTGTGGCAACCGGAGCGTCTCAACGCCATAAACATCACGTCAGCTCTGGACAGGGGCGGCAGGATTCCACTTCCCATTAATGACATGAAGGAGGGGTAAGCAGACCTTTATCTTGTTGCCTTAAATATGGATTTTAAAATTTGATGATCTTATCAAACTTATTATAGATGGAAGAAGGCCAATTGCATTTTTCTTTTTAATAAGAAACAGATATTATGAAGATATGGATATACTTGCAATTTTCTATATTGACAAAAGGTTATGCTAACAGTTCTTTATATATAAAACTCTAGGTCCTGGGCATCTAATTGTAGATCAGCATCAGAAATTACAACACTAAGTCTTTTGTACCTTCCATAGAGAAACTGATAATGTAGAGCCCTGACTTCGAAAGGAAATTGATGCCCCAGTTATCAGCTACAGAAGGACTTGCAGACTGCTGTAACTTTATTCTAGGAAACTATTTCTTCGCCTTTAGCATTCTTTCCAGCATGTGTCAGAGACTGATGGCTGGGTTGGATTTGAAGCCTAAAGCCTGGCCCTGTCACTCACAGGCTGGTGACATGAGGCAAATCACTGGACTCCTCTGTGCCTCAACTGCTGCATGTGCTTCAATGGTGATTATACTCTTTCACAGGTTGTTACAACAATCCAGACAATATGTTGGAAAGGGAATGTCAGTTCTAAAGCATCACCAATATGAAATGCGACCTGACCTATAGGCATGTAGAGGTCCAGTGGTTATTCAGAGGTAGAATGTTTACCTTGAATGTGGGAGAACCAGATTTGATTCCTGGTCAGTGTACCTCAAGTGAAGACTCCACCCATCTCTGCTCTTTACTTGTGTCATGCTGAGCAGGCTTCATTGGAGCTTCTGGACTAAGACAGGCTGGGAAGGAAGGCTTGGCATTCTACCTCTGAAAAATCTATGGGTCACAGTGGTTCAATCCCACTTTGTATGGGGTTGCCACAAGTCAGGGGTCAATTCATCTATAGCTAACAACAACAGAGGCTGAGAAATACACATACCTGGGTAAATTGACAGGGTCAAGCCAAACTTTGATTTCTAATCTGTAGTTTGAGACAGATGTGCCTTTGTTTTTTAGCTTTTGCCAATCCTATGAATGTACATGGCTGTAGAATAAATCACATTATGTATGGCATAGCCCCTTTCCATTTCCTCCTTTATTTGTATTCCTGGCAGCACTTTTATTCAAGTGAAATTGGATAAGAATTGAACTTAATAGCAGCTTTAAAGGGGACCTTGATTAGAAATAAAAGAGAAGATCACAAATACACATAGATGAAATCTAAGGCGGTAGACAGATGGGGGGTATGGAGAAAGAAGTGAGCCATAAAATCCAAATTAGAAATTTCAGAATTAAATGGTATTTTCTGTGTTACATAGCAATGGGGTTTGGAGTCAGTCAAGCACACATAGAACTGCTTTGAGAAAAATAGTTGCTTTATCTCTGCTCAGTGGCTTTTTATATGAAACCACGATTCTACGTAACTCAAACCAGTTGCTGTCAGATTAATTCTGACTCATGGAAACCCTGTGGATAGTAGAGGAGGACTGTGCTCCATAGGATTTTCAGTGATTGATTTTTTTTTTTCCCCAAGGTGACTCTGGGTGGACTTGAACCTCTAACCATTCCTTGAGAAGCTGATTTAATTGCTTATATTATTCACGGACTTGATTTATATTTTCACATGAGGATTATTAGCATGTTTTTCTTTTCCACTGAGTAAAGCAGAACCATGGAAAGAAATGAATAAGGCAACCAAAACCAAACCCAACCCACTGCCATGGAGTCGGTTTTGACTGCTAGCAACCATCTAGGAACGAGGGTTTCTGAGACTGTAATCTTTACAGGAGTAGATAGCTTTATCTTTCTCCCATGGAGCGGCTGGTGAGTTTGAACCACCAAGTTTGTGGTTAGCAGCCCAATGCTTAGCCCATAGTGCCACCAGGCTTCCCTATGAATATGGGTATCTTTTTTTGAAAACATACTCCAAAGGTAATGTGTTCCTTGATGATTATTGAAACAATCACCAAAAGATATTCAAGGAAGCTCCATGAAGACCAGACATGGATAGTTTTCTATGGCTGTTGCTTTCTGAACTCACCTTTGCCTGCCAATAATGCAGGCTCAGCCAAAGCGCTCCGTGGAGGCCAAGATGGCCAAACTTCATCTCTCATACTTTGGACACATTGTCAGAAGGGACAAGTCACTGGAGAAGGATATCATGTTTGGTAAGGTGGTCAGAGAAAAAGAGGAAGACCCTCAATGCAATGGATTAGCCAAGTGGCAGCATTGATGGACTCAAGCGTGGCAACAGTAGTGAGGTTGGCCCAGAATCGGGCAGTGTTTCGTTCTGCTGTACATAAGGTCTCTGTGAGTCAGTACTGACTCGATGGCACCTAACAACAACAACAACAAAACCCACAGAGGAGGAGTCCTGGTGTGGCGCTGTGGGTTAATGTGCTAGACAGCAAAGTTGGTTTGAATCGCAACGTCAGCAGTTCAAGCTCACCAGCCACTCCTTGGAAACTCTATACGTAGTTGCAGTTGCTATGGGTCAGAACCAACTCGACGGCACTTAACAGCAATAACCCACAGAGGCACTTTAGAACTGGAGCTACACTACATTGAACTAGCAATCTATAGACCAAATTCTGTCCTAATGCTTCCACCCCTGACTATTAACAATATAGACAGATTCCTGCCTCTGGCTTCCCTAGTAGTTCTAATTCTTTATCCCCAGGACTGGGCCTGAGCATGTGACTCTAAATTAAGAACAGATTTTTGTTCTACCAGTAGTTGATAGAGAATCCAGTCATTAACTGATTGACTCCCCGCACCTGCTAAAGGCAGCATATGCTGTCAGATACTTCAGGGAGTAGGCCCAGTGGCATTTATTTGGACCGTGTTGCCTCAGATCCCTTCCCAACTTGAAATGCTTTCCATGAGTTTTAATTCAATGTTAAGCCTTAACCTTTATAAAGTATTCATGTGAGAAATCTTTTAAAATAGCGTTTCTATAAATTGTACCCAATGCCAATTCTGTTACTTCAGTGTCCCTATACAAACAAGCATCATTGCTTGAGTAGAAGAAAAGTGTGTCACTGGGGATAATCTTGCATACTTTTTTAGTTGGTTTATAGTGTCATGGTAACAAAACAATGTTCTAACCTTTTTGTCTTAAGTCTACAATTGAATCCTTTACTTCACTCCTCTCTTGTGTCTTCCTTCCTTTGTGATGGGGCATACCGTAGTTTGTTTAAATTCTTTGCCTTTGTGATTAAACATGTGTGCATGTGTGTGTATGGACTTCTGGTGTGGCACTGTAGAATAAGCACTGGATTGCAACCACAAGGTCCGTGGTTCAAACCTTCCAACTGCTCCTTGAAAACCCTGTATAGAGTCGCTATGAGTTGAAACTGACTCTACTGCACTTAACAGAAGCAATATTTATATACACATGACTGTATATACATATATATTTATTTATCTTACAATATAATGAATGTAATCAATGCCAGTAAATTGCACATGTAAAAACTGTCAATTTGGCAAGTATTTTATTATACATATTTTACCGCAAATATAAAAGGGCTTCAAAAAGTTCGTGGAAAAATTCCAGTCTCTTTTAATTCCATTTTTCCATGAACTTCTTAAAGCACCCTGTATTCATATGTTGCTGTTAAATTCTGTCGAATTGATTCCAACTCATAGCGACCCTGTGTAGGGTTTCCGAGCAACGTCTAGTGAATTTAACTGCTGACCCTGCAGTTCAACTTTGAGGTCAAGTGCTTATCCTAAGGCACCACACCAGGACTCCATATTCATATCCGACGTGTTAAAAAGTACTCCTGGTGTGGTGCTGTAATATCAGCACTAGTCTTCAGAACACAGGGTCAGCAGTTCATATTCACCAGCCGCTCCTCTGAAATCCTATGTCGTGGTTGTTGTTGTTATTGTTGTGAAGTGCCATTGAGTAGATTCCAACCCATAGCAACCCTGTGTAGGGTTTACAAGGAGCAGTTGGTAAGCCTGAACTGCCAACCTTGTAGTTCAAATGGCTTTTCAGTCTGGCGCATTAACCCACAGCACCACACCAGGACTCCCTGAAACCCTATACAGGCAGGCTCTCTATTAGTTTTGGTGATGACTTGACAGCACTTAGCAACAACAATAACAATATTAATTCATATGGGGAGCATTCGTGTGACTATCAGAGTCCTGGGATGGCTACGTACTTGGCTACAATATCGGTTTGGACCACAAGGTCGGCCGTTCAAACCCACCAGCTGCTCCTCGTAAACCCTATCCAAAGCCATTATGAGTTGGAACTGACTCGACAGCACTTAACAACAGCAATATGGGGAGCACATGGCTCTGTAGGATAAACATTGGTCTTGTAACCATAAGGTTCGTGGTTCAAGCCCACCAGTCGTTCAGTGGGATGAGACTTTCTGCTATTGTAAAGATTTACTGCCTTGGAAACCATAAATAAGAGTGTCGCTGTGAGTCAGAACTGCTTTGATGGCACTTAACAACAACAACATATTCATATACTTCAGAAGTATTGTTGTTGTTAGGTGCCATCAAGTCGGTACCATCCCACTGCGACCTTATGCATAGCATAACGAAACACTGCTCAATCCTGGGCCAACCTCACTACTGTTGCCACACATGAGTCCATCAATGCTGCCACTTGGCCAATCCATCTCATTGGGGGTCTTCCTCTTTTTCTCTGACCCTCCACCTTACCAAACATGATATCCTTCTCCAGTGACTGGCCCCTCCTGACAATATGTCTGAAGTATGAGAGACAAAGTTTGGTCATCTTGGCCTCCAAGGAGCACTCTCTCTGCTCTTCTTCCAAAACGGATTTATTGGTTCTTTTGGCAACCCATGGCACCTTCAATACTCTACGTCAACACCATAACTCAAAAGCATCAATTCTTCCACGGTCTTCCTTATTCACTGTCCAGCTTTCGTATGCATATGAGGTTACTGAAAATACCATGGCATGGGTCAGGCACACCTTAGTCCTCAAGCCGACATCTTTGGTCTTCAACACTTTA